AAGGTGTTGCTCACTGTTTTTTTCGACGTTCAAGGTCCGCTACTTGTGGAATTCCTCGAGCACAGAAAAAGCATTAACTCCGACGTGTACTGTGAGACACTCCGACGCCTACGCAGCTCCATCAAGAACAAAAGACCGAGGCTTCTCAAGGGGGGTGTGGTTCTTTTCCATGATAACGCGCGTCCACACGTCTCCAGAGTCACACAAATGGAACTGGACAAGTTCAAATGGAAGACGTTGGACCATCCGCCCCACAGTCCGGACATGTCACCCTGCGATTTCCATGTGTTTGGTCCACTGAAGAAACACCTGAAAGAGAAGCGCTTCAACTCGGGCGACGTACTCAAGGACACTGTGAAGGACTGGGTCTCGTCACAGCCACAGGAATTATGGGAACAAGGAATCCTGCGGCTTGTTCATCAGTGGGATCGTTGTGCTCAGGCCTATGGTGTATATTTTGAATAAAGTCTACATTTGTACCCACCGTGTCGTTTCGTACTTTTTCATTTTATCACTCCTTGTAATTTAAAATAAGTTATTAAAACTTTTATTAAGAAACAAATTGTTTATACGATATAGAAATAAGATATATTTTAAGTTACGGTATCCGACTATGTTTTCAGAATATTATTATAATAAAGAATTATTTAAATGCAACATTTTGGCAAACAATGAGCATAGATTTACCTATTTTCAAAACATTTTCCTTTAAAAAAAATACTTATCTAATGATAACATTTTGTCTATATACGGCTAAGATACCTCTAGAGAACCTGTACTAGGAATTTTGAAAAATTCACATTAATTTCTTAGTTACTACCAACTGAAATAACAATCGGCGTTTTTTTTGCTAAAATGTTTTCCTCTCATATTTTATTCGGGGGAAGATGCCAATAGTACTTTTATGCGTCGATAGATGGCAATTTTGAGCCACTTGTGTGAAGAGTCTGGTCCAACATTGAAGGTGGCTTTTGAATTTATCTGAATTAATCGTCTTTAATCGGCCTTATTTTTCGATCTTTTGAACATTAAAAGTGGTGAGTACAATTTTTATATAATATTCTGTTCCTCACATTTAATGTCCATAAGCATACTTGTTATTTTAAATAAGATATTAACAATATAAGTGAGTTACGTATAATGTTACACATACGATGCATGTAGATGCGGCCATAGCACTATAGCAATAAGGAAATAAGCGTGCGTGGCATTTTCCCTCTATACTTGGAGGAAGACACCTCATGATGCAGAAAAAAACATGTGTATGTGTACTTATGTACGCACGTAAGAAGTTATACTTCTTTGGAGTAACAAGATTAAAATCTTTCTAAAAATCATTAGCAGGGCAAGTTTGGCCAAGGACGAAAGGCGGTCACAAGCAGAGTTGAACGATACTAACCTTCAGTCAACCGGACCAGCCAAACCTGAGATAATCACGATTTAAATAAATTTAAACACCCCCGCACAGGGACAATAGGACCAATAATATGGGGAAGGGGTCGAAGGCGGGAATGATCGGTCCCATTCTGCATATTTCTAAACAAAGCATTTTCGTATACGTTCCTACGGAACACAAAGCAAAGGTTCGCAGTCACGGGGGTTATATCTCAGTGGTAGAGCATTCGGCTGCAGATCGAGAGGTCTCCGGTTCGATTTCGGGTGTCCCCTTCTTCAGGGAAGTGAGGAGAAATATTTTTCTGAGAATTTCGAAGGCGGTAATGATTTGTCCCGTTCTGTATATTTCTAGACAAATGATTTTCGCATCTGTGACGGTGTGCGCGAGCATTGTAAAGATTTACCCTCATCCTATTTCTCTAACGCCCCAAAAGAAGTATAACTTCAATAAATGAAATGAACTTTAAAATTTGTTTGTTTTAGATTTGTAACACTGTATACCCATTCTATAAAATATAAATGCAATTAGTAATTTTTATTATAATTAATAGTACTTAAATGCAATTAATGATAATTGGTTTATCACCATCGGTTGGCTCCACCAGCATATAACACGGGAGCACAGCCTTATTCTTCTGGTCAAAAAACGCAAACCCACCGGGCTTAAAAAAATTAATTTCAGAAGTCTTGACTGAATCAGAGATGAGAGCAACTATGCGGGAAAAGGCGGGTAAGGTCAAAACAAATAACAAGAAACCTGCGAAGAAACAGATGAAAGCAACGTGTCAATTTGTCATCCTCAAGTGAAGAAATTTCTCTAGATGCTAGTGGTGACAGTTTTGATGAGGATAATAATGATATTTTTTGTGCTGTGTATAAAGGGTACTTTTATGCTAAAAATGGTCCCAAGTGTGACTGGATTCAGTGCATCTAATTCAACAAATGGTTGCACGAAGATTGCAATGATAATCATTTGCACTGAGTGAAATGTTGTGTAGGCTACCATTCGAACCTCTCTCTCTCTGTGCTGTTATTATTTTTAGCAATCTAACTAATTATGAAAGAATTTTTTTTTCTATTATTATTGTTATTTCATATTTAATTTTGTAATGTTTATCTAATTTTTTATTTACTGTGGTGTTGTTGCATCTTACTCCATGACTCCATGACTGGACATTCACAATTAAATGAATTTCTTTAACATTAAATTTCTAATCTATTTTCATACCAAGAAGAGAATTAACTTGTACACATAACCAATTAAATTTAGAAAAATAAAGTGTATTTTTTTCATGGATTTCAATTTTCATTCCTTAAATGTGGCACCTTCCTCCGAATTACCTTATATTTAAAATATACATAAATCCATTTCTTCGTTAAATATTTCAAAACTCCTTGTTCAGGCATTGTGTACAAATATGATCTATATATAGGCAAAATATTATTATTATTATAGATGAATTTAAACATTTTTCCTAAAAGGAGAATGTTTTTAATGTAGTTCATTTTTTGCCAAAAAATAGCACCTTTAAATAATTTTTTATTGTTATAATATTCTGAGAACGATTTTATACGTGTATTCTAATCTAAGTGATACTAAATTTTTTTTTTAAAATATTCGTTTGTACGCTTTTTCAAAACCGCGGTTCCGAACGTAGTTAGATATTTTAAAGAAAAAAAGAATTGTTTTCCACAATACCATATTAGGGAAAGTGTGCTTAGAAGTCTTCGAAAAGTCTGCTTTAACATTTATAAATTTTGAATTGTTATATAAAATAATGAATTTTAAGTACATCAGTTACACAATAAATAAGATTAAAATATATTATCTGAACTAAAATTACATTTTTTTTATTCAAAACCGTTATAATTCCCCGTGCACCACAAAGTATTACACGGGGCTTACCGAAGTAAATACGAAACACACATTACAAAAGACAAAAAATAAATAAATAAGTAAAAGTTATGAAGAATTTAAAATATTTACAAGAAATTTGCACAAATGTATTACCCTTTTGCAAACTCATTGGGAGTATCTGGTGGAAATAAGTTAGTGAAAATCTGGAGACCAATTTATATTAATGCCCTTGAGAGTCAGTCTTAGGATCTGTCTTTCTATGACAAACTTGGAACACAGAAGGAGCACACGTTCTACATTTTCTTCGTCACCATTACTGTACAATTTGCAAGAGAGAGAGAGAAGTTGAGTTGAGTTTGGTGTTTTATGGCGCAAGAGCCAGTTTTGGCTATACTGCGCCAAACATTCATAGGTCTGTGGTCTGGACGGGAAAAGAAGAAATTGGATGACAAGATGGAGGGTCGAAAATAGAGAAGGATCACTGGGGTACCCCGGGGTCGTGACACCCGTGTTTACCAAAGATAGTAAGAGAGAGAGAAGATGACGGTACCAAATTAAATTTGTTCAAATAACTTTTAAATATACCACGACCAATGAGACAGTGGGTTATTTTGTAATGAGTATAAAAATGATGGCATAGAAATCTTTTATATATGGATGGAAAAAAACTTCTTTGTTAAGCTCCCTTTATTTGAAATGAAATATATTCTTGTGTGGTTCAAAAACTTGACTATTCCTTTTCGCACCAACGTTCTTTTGAAAGGATTTTTGAATATTTACGGCAGTGTCAATTTCGCGCTTGGTGGCAGTCTTTGAACGCAAATCAGGTCATTCATTTCCCGAAACACCCGTGTGTCCAGGAACAAATGCAAAAGTTATCGAGATGTTTTTATTTTTCAGGTTTTTACATTATTTTTGGATCGTGATAAAAAAAATAACATTTCAATCGGTACAAATATATAAAATATATTAATGATACTTACTGAGCAAGCGTTCTACAAAGTAAAAAATAATGAATTTTTATATCTTTTTTCACGATGTTAGCTTTTTCTTTTTATGTAATTATTTCACAATATAAAATCCATCACAGTAAACTAACTTTAGATAGAAATATTGTAATATTTCTATTTTGATGCATTACGATTCTGTAAACACATTGACTATACCTATCTTCATCTGTTGAGTTAAAAAGACAAAGGGTACGGGAATTGGAAAAATATCAAGTCAAAGTATAGAACTTCACAACTTATCTTTTTCAATGAATGAAATTATATAATCAGATGATGTAATGAAGAAAAACAAAGTAATAAGCAATTTATTCAAAAAGAAATGTAAAGAAGAAAAGTAATTTTTATTTCATGTATGAAAGAGAACCCATTGGAAATAAAATATGTTTCAGTGGCTTTCGACAGGGAAATGCACTGGCATGCCTTCTTTTTATAATTTAGCATTAGATAAAGTGGTATGAGATTTCAACATCAGTACCAATGGAAATATCTTTAAAAATTCCAGTGACGTAACGAGAACATCAAAGTCAGGTTTTGGGCCCCCAAGTTTGATTTTACAAAAGGTAAGTACTTGGCGGCCTTGGGCCCTCTAAAATCCCAGCCCCCAGCAATTAGGGGGTTGCGGGAGTGTACGTAACACTACTGAATAAATCAATACAATTGTTGGTTTTTGCTGATGGCATTGACATTATTTCTCGAACACCCACCACACTAAGACAAGCCTTATTATCTTTAGAGAAATAGGTCCTCACAGGATGGGACTGAAAATTAGAGTGAATAAGAACAAATACATGGCTTGCACTAAATTATGTTTTAACAATTTCCATACTTTAAAATTGAACAGTATAATTTTGAAGTTGTTTACAGTTTCACTTGGATGGTTTCAATGGACGAAGACCACATCACTAAAAAAGTCTTCAATGCCCAAACAATTGGCACACGGAAGGAAAGCATGCCAAATCTAAGATGGATTGATGACTTAGAAAAAGATCTCTTGGTTAAGAGAACTAAAAATTGGAGAACACTAGCGGGCAGAAGGATTGCCTGTAGAAATGGCTTCTTGAGAAGTCTAAGGTCCACCCTAAGTTGTAGAGCCACTGAGGGGTGAAAGGGAATTTTTATTTGTATTTTTATAGATTTAAAAAGAAGGTAAAGTAAAATTATATATCACGTGACTTGAGCTGAGAGGAAGAAAAAGAAAGTCAAAATTGCTGGATACTTTTATACGAAAAACATAATTAAAAAATAAGTACACAAGAAGTATAAGGGGAGATAACTAATGCATTTTTTTAAATCACTTAAATAATTTGGGTAAATTTATGACTATTGTTGTTTTATTATTAACACTTATGGACAAAAAAATTATCACACCAAGAAAAAGCATTGAATTGAAATAAAATTTTACACAGATAAAGATGAAAGGTTCTAAAACGAAGGCAATTAGACAGTTATAGAATGATATATTCTTCCATCTTCAGCATCGCATCGGATACATGTCACGTTGGATACGTCTTGTGCTAGGGTACATGTCAAGACACGGTTTGGTATTAAATTGAATAGACGCCCTGAGAAAGACAGACCCCCTCAAAACCGGCATAAAGTATCCCGGTGAAATCTGACATTTCAGCTGGTCCCAGACATGTTCAATAGGAGCCATGTAAAAGTCTGAATTTCATATAGGAAGTCCTGAGCTTTCGAACCACATACGAACGTGTATTATCCTGCTGGTCATTAACCACTATACTGTCTAAGCAGCTCATTATCAGAGGATGTATAAGAGTCAACCAAATGAAAGTGGCACTGCAGTCGGTTTGATAAAATGATGTTAATGTAAATTAGTATACAAAATAAAGTAGTAATATGGACGCAATAGATAGGCAAGACAAAGTCACCTTGTAGTTTCAAAAGTGTCTCAGCGGTCCACGGGTGAAGAAGCTCCGGAGTTTGTTGTGGAACCGTATTTCAACAACAGCTCGGACCACATTATATTCGTGAAATTGTCATCACTTTAGAGCAGCGATACTTAACCTACGGCCCACCGAGTCTTTTTAACTGGCCCGGTCATGGCCCATTGCTCTGAAAAATTTATTTATTTAAAAAAATTGTATTAAAAATTTGGTGGGTAATTCTTTGTTAAGAAATCAAATATATCAATTTTGCTTTTTGCTGTCAGTGTCGTACGGGTATGAATTGATATTCTTTTTCTACTTGGAACTGTTACGGTTAGTGATAACTGATAACAGAGGAGTAGCGACCATTTTATGGGTGGAACTAATTTTTAACTATCTTTCATATATTGCAAGCCAAAAATATTCGTTAAATATATAGTTTCAAGACGATTGGAATGTTGACTATTTTGTAGTGAAAAACAAAAGTGGATCAATAATTGTTTAGTTTGTCACGAAAGT